GACCCAGGTGCAACCTCTTCCCTTCTTCAAGAAACAAACACACAAGAATGTGATTTTGAAACCATCTTCACCTTCTGTGGGAGGGGCTAAAAACCCAGCACCGTTTTCAGGAGTGAGTACAAAGAACTTTATAGCAACTAGTTTCTTTTTCTGGAGAAAAAAACCCCAAGAAAACCCAAAAAGCCCCACACCACAACCACCAGTTGGTTATCTATTTGCCAGTGGAGATTACTCTAGGTTACACTGTTTCCTAGTGTGACACGGAGCACTACCACACACACCCTGGAGCTGCATTTACTACGTCATTTGTGTGCAAACTCTACGGAAGAGATCATTCCCCATGTCAGAAAACACTCAAGCCCCGAAAGAACAGGACAGCGGTTCACATGCTCAGTGAGACATCCTGCTCCCCGTGCACTTCCTAAAGGGAGGACTCTAAGCATCCCTGAGGACTGCGTGACGAGTGCTAGCCACGAGAGGAAGAATCCAACTGAAGGTCTGACTTCCCTGAGAAGTTCACTACATATTTCACAGGCTTCATGGCACTTCCCAGAAGCAGTTCAGCTTTAGAAAAAACAAGTCCTGCTGAGGTTTGAACAAACCAAAGCAGCCACCTCTTACCTTCTCCGGTCGCCCGTTGAGCCCTCCAGAAGGCAACTGACGTTCACAAAGCCACCAGCCCAGCAAGTCGACATTTATTTGATGCAACTGGTCCGTTATAGCCAGAAATCCTGTGCAACAATAGATCTAAAATTACAGACATAAATTTTTTGTGTATTTAAAAACCATGTACAGTTCAGCAGAGTAAACGCAGAAAGGTCACAAAGGAGGAAATGGAGACACGCAAACGCAGCAGGGAGCAGGCACACCCTTCAACCTTTGGTTTCAAATAAGTTGTCCTTTTCCATGCGCAGTTTGTTGCTGCAGTTTTTATGCAGGGGTGCCAGCGACACAATGCAAACACCACGCAGTGAGAACCTCCTAACGTAAGTCGCTAACACAAGGTCTGGGACAAGAGTCCAAAGGATGCGGCAGAGCTGCAGCTTTACTGGAAAAACACAGGCTCTGGTGCCGGAGCACTCCACCGGAATCCTGCAGGCCGGACACGGCCTTTGTGAAAATTCTGTATCCCGCTTTGCTTTGTTCCTGGCTGTGCTCTTACCCCACGGCTTGTGGAAAGCCAAGCAAAGATCCAATTAATTCCCCAGCAGAAGGAGGTTAGCCCTGGTCATTCAGCTGCCCCAGCAAGCCCGCACACATCTGCTCATGTCACACCTGCCATCCCACATGTGCATTGAGTAATCCCAGATTGTTTTCTCCTGGAAAATAACCTTCCTAGCGCAGCGGCGTACTGCGCTCGCGTATAATGCGGTCACGAAGAAAGCAGCCACGCACAAGCTGCGGGAGAGCACAGCACCAATGGCAGCCGGCTTGTGACCACCTCCTCCCAGTAAAACACACCACCAATAGGACAGCGAAACCCAAGGAACGCACACCAACAGGGATGTGCCCGTCCAGGAATACTGCAAAACACATGGGACATTCCCAGAAAACTTCTCAACTACTGTGCAGGCCAAGGAGTTGCCCCTTAAGGCATTTGGGAATATGCACCACCGGTCTAATCCTCCCCGGACACATCAGCTGCAGGCAGGTCCAGCTACTTCCTCCAACTTCTGCAGCACTAGACCCTGCCCCAGCCCCTGAGACCATGTGGGCAATGCTCCTGCATATAAAACCCAGAAGATAAGGCACAGGTAGCAGGTTTACATTTCTTTTTTCCCCAATCTAAAAAAATGGGAGGAGGGAGCAAAAACCCCAAACCCCTCTCTCTTGTCACACGCCCAGGTGAACCCTGGCTGCTGCACTACTCATCATATTTGACTGCAAAAGCACTAAAATAGTTCATTAAAGGTTGATTTCTATTCTTCAACTCAGGTCAAGCGCAATAAACCCATCCAGGAAAAATAAAACCAGGAAAGGTAGTTTCTATGTAGATTCTCTGCAGGATGAAATCACTGCTATGCTCTCGTGGAGAGCCCTTCGGCTGTTACAGTGCTGCTGCTGCAGCCCCTCCGCAGCTGGGTTCTACTGAGCACGTTCCAGAACTCACTGCCACCACGAGAACACTCTCTAGCGCCTACCAGAAGTCCCTGTAACTGTTCCCATGCCCCAGTTTGGCATCTCACTCTAAAGCTGACTTTGCAGATCTGCGGCAAGTCTCCCCTCGAGGAGGTTCGTCTTGTTCGGTTCATCAGCTGATCAGTATGACACAACTAAGCGCTCTGTTCCATCGCTCTGGGGCAGGGACAGATCTTGTCCAGTGTCTGCACTACACCCATTTCAAATTCTCTACAAACCCTCCCGCTGACTATTCCAGCAGCACCAGGTGACAACTGAAACACTCCTAAAAGTTGTTCCCTTGCGAGTCCGGTTTTCCCCAGACTGTCACCTCCAGAGTCTCTGCTCATCCTCTTGGATTGATCTACCCAGCTGTTTTTTGATTTTAATTAAGGTACTACAACCAGGCATCTGGGAAACAAGGACGGTGCACCAGCTGACACCGACAGATGCTGTACAGAAACATTCCAGGCAGGATGTGATGCTGGCTAACGTGAAACATTTCCACACAAAGGACTCACCTGTCCTGCATGTGATTCGGAACCTGGTCGACAACCAAATCCTCCATCAAAGTTCATACAGGACAGAACGAATTCTACTGCTTTCCCCACATCGACAGCATCCAGCTTTCCCTGCAAGGCAGAAAAGCAACTGATGCACTTCACGTTCAGCCGTGCAAGGGCAGAGCCCGTGCTTGTGGCGGGAACGATCCAATACTTACCAGAAGCGCAAGCGTTGCTGCAGCACAGAAGGAAAACCTCGTATCTATTTCTCCTAGAACGTGGGGCGTAGGAATGAGAAAAGAATATTTTTATCAATAACGACAAAAATACATTTAAATCTCCACTGAAACATGGAACAAACTGTTGAAATACAAGGTTTTACATAGAACAACAAAACTCAGCCCAAACTGCCCCGTACTGTTTCCTCTTCCAGGCCATGGGTTGTTCCCTCCATACTTCAGAAAGCAGATGCTCAAGTGATCTGAGCGTCACTGCACACAAAGGCAAACGACACACTTGGAGCTGGCAGACAGCTCGCCAGATCAATCCAGAGTGGCACTTAACAAGTAACTGGAATTGTAGAGTGCCTCTGCAGTGCTCTGCTGGATAACTGCAGCACAAAGGACTCAAACATACTCGGACACAACTCCCCATCTGCCCTAAGCCTGGGCAGGAGCAGAAGCCGTTTGTGGTTTTGGAGGAAGATCGATGGTTTCAGTCAGGACAGGGTTAACTCCCCCCACGGGGGCTGCTCTGGGGCTGGTTTGGGTTTGCCCTGAGAAGAGCCCTGCTCAGGGGTTTGTTAGCTGGTGCTGGGCAGTGCTACCCCAGTTCAGGGGCTTCCCCAGCTCCTGATCCTGCCCTGTGTACATTCGCCTGTTCGTTTGCCCATTTGTTAGCAAGTGGGGGTGGCTGGCGCCCTCGGGCGCGCTCTCGCTCGTGCGGTTGCCCAGACTTCTGGCTACTCGGGACAGGGCTGTGCATCAGTTGGCGGATGGCGAGCAGCTGTAGCATTGGTTTTATCATGTTATGAGTAGTATTGTTAATATCATTAGCATCACTATATTAATTTATATTCCATTATTAAATAGTTCTTATCTCAACCCACGAGCCTCCTTGTCTTTTCCTCCGACTCTCCTCGCTGGGAAGGGCAGGCGAGCGAGCGGCTGCTAGTCCTTCGCTGCCAGCCGGGGTTAAAGCTCGAGAGACCCGTTTCAGCAGTGGCCCACCAGCCACCTTCGCAGCAGCGCACCACACTGCCACGACCTGGATTGCTGAATCTTACCAGCACAACACGAGTGACGTGCAATAGGTTGTATTAAAATCTAAGTATTCCATGGGGATAAGTATTTTTAGAGTGACTAAGTATTTATGCCAGAGCTTCAGAAAACCATCTTTGTTCCCAAAGAACTTCTGTGCAGGAACAAAACTAGAATGAACAGAAGTTGACAAGTACAAAACGCAGTTTTTCTCACACCCATGAAGATCCTTTCACAGCCAGTGTGGGTAAAGATCGTAACTCTGCGCCACTAAACAGCAAGCACAAACATTCCTTACAGAACAGGACAACTGCTATACTAAAGTACTGTCCAGTTCCAAATATCCAAAGGTTTTCTCCTGTAGGAGCTGAACAATGCATTTCTGACACAAGAATGGCTGAAGTTTGCAAGAGGTGTGAACGGAACGAATCCCACCGCTGTCCTTCATAAAACCCCCTTTTTTGTAACTCGGAACAGAAACCGTTCCCCTGCAGCATATAGGAAAAAGACCATCCAAGGACACAGAAGCCCAGGGACGTACGCAAGTCGAGCTCGTTACAGAAACTATGTAAAATTACCCCATTTGTCTCCAGCAAACGATCCATCTTCTTTTTGCAGGTTCTGTATATATTCAACAATTTTATTCACATCAACAACATGGAGACTGTCGTACAAGATAAGAATCTAGAAAAAAAAGACACAGTGGCCAGAGAGAGGCAAGACCATAATAAATGACTCATTTCTTAAAATCCTGGATTTACAGAAGACTCCACTTCCTTGGCTGCACATTCTGTAAGGTTTGCTAAAGCAGCGCTTCATTCACTGCAGTCAATCCGCCTCAGCCTAACACCCCTAGAAATTCCCAGAACACCGGCAATTCCAGCTGAACTCTCTCATGCTTGGTTACCTTCCACCTCACAGCTCCCTTCGGAAGAGTAACCAGGTTGCTGCATGTCAGCACCGTGCGGAACACAGACTGGATGGTGGCTGATTCTGCAAGGGGCTAACGACAGCCCAGACTTTGGAACCTGCAGTCTGTGCACTGCTGCTGCTCAGCTGTGTGCAACGTAAGGTACTACGGGTCATTATTGCTGCCACTCACCGGCCGAGCCTGTCAGCAGTCATCAGTTTGGGATTACAGGACTTCTCTTTACGTTCCATTTTTAAATATAATGATTAGACACAAACTGTACAGTCAGTGTATTCGGGAAAAACAACTGAAGTCATAATAGAGAACCGTGAGCTTTCTGGGCAAGCGCCGACTTGGAGCTGCGTGACACCACGGCACTGAAACCACAACAGTTTCTGAGCCCCGGCTGGCTCCGTGGTTTTCCTCAGAACTTGCTTGTAAAGAGAGTAATTAAGCATTTGTAAGTAGCATAATAGACAGAACAGTCAAAACAAAGCAATATTACAGTGCCAGTCCTGTAAAATACCAACGACTCCCAGCGTCTGGTGCTACCTGGAACCTTTCACCTGCCATACACAACCCAAGGCCTGTGGAAACACACCGATGATGTACAACTCGACAGAAAACACCCCATCACAGCGTGCTCCTTACAAAGCAAACCTCAACATGACACCTGTGACCATGGGAAGGCATGACACCACCCTTTGTACACAGGGACATGCAGGCAGACCTAAATGGTGTCCCAAAGCACGCACACCCATCACGGGGTGCTGCGTAACCACAGCAACGCTACGTCGGCCCTTGCAAAGCCTCCCCAACTCCACAGGCCCAGGGCTGCGCTCCGTTACCAAGAAAGTGTAACGCCCTGTGTTTATTTAAGAGCTAACATGTAAAAATAAACAACCTTAAACTGTGTCCCCCTCTCCTTATCCCAGATCAGGATTTGTGATGGGACAGCTTGGAAAAGCCCAGATGCCACAGCCCAAAGAAAGTGCTTTCCTGGTTCTCAGAACACTCAGAGTAATTCTAGAGCTGAAGCGGCAGGAGGTATCAGCTTGAGAGCGGATGACGGACAACGCTCCCCGCTGACCCAAGAACACAGCGTTCTGTCCTGCCAGAGGGTTGAGCCACCGCTCCAAACCCAGCACCCTCGCAGAGGCTACATCTGCACTGCAGATGGTTACGGTGGGAAGAAAAGATTGGGAATCGCGGAGGGGAAGAGCACAACCCACATCAATCAGCAGGATGCTCAACTGACTGCTGTCACCCTGAAGTCAGACACAAGACCCAGCCTTGAGGGACACAGGAACCGGCTGCTGCAGTGCTGCTTTTGTACAACCCCCAGCTACACGGGCCAGGAACACAGGGCTCACGTAAACACTGCAGAGCAATTTCACTGCTGTAACACACAGGGTGCACAAAGAAACGAACCCCCAGCTTCACTCTTAAGTCTGGCCATAGGTAACTTGTACCTCAACGAGCACTTCAAAAAACTTGTAAAATCCACAATTATCTTAAAAAACTCCAGTAAAACCTGCAGTTGAGTAGTGTTTGAAGACGACCGTCAAAATCCAGCAGGAACGCAGTCGACCTGAGCGACGCCAAAAAGCAAAATGGCCTGACGGGCCCATCTTCCAGCAGACAGTACAGCCAAGACCTGAAGCTTTGCCCGTTAGTTGGGTTTTTGTTACTGAACTACTGAAACAGCTTTTGCCACCAGCATCCTGGGTGGTAAATCTGCAATCACCCAAATCATTAACTACAAACAAGTTTTCTGAAGTTGCCCTGTTACATTTACCTGGACCGCGCTGAGGGTATACAGAAGATGCGGATCGTGACCTGTGCTGGCACTTATCCCCCCACACTCGTGCTGACACGATCTGATGAACGCCAGGATTTCTTCTTTGTTCATCCGGTGCAGCTGCCCCATGAGATCCATTGCTGTCAGCCCCCAGTAGACACCACTCATCCTCAGATACTCCGACATACAGTACTCCTAAGCAGCACAGTAGTTTAGTTTTAAATCAGATATGCACATCATCAGCACAGAACAATGAAGATACAGCAGTGAACATTTACAGCTTGTAAGGTAACAACCATCCTCCAGCCCCTTGACCTCTTACTCTGTACCAGCCACTCCGAGATATTCTCTAACGGAACCACAGGATCGTTTGGGTGGGACGGGACCTCAAAGCCCAACTAGTCCCAGCCCCTGCCATGGGCAGGGACACCTTCCACTAGACCAGGTTGCTCCAAACCTCATCCAGCCTGGCCTTGGACACTTCCAGGGATGGGGCATCCACAGCTTCTCTGGGCAACCTGTCCCAGTGCTCCCACCCTTTCCGGGAAGAATTCCTTCCTGATGTCCCATCCCAATCTCCCTCTTCCTGTTTAAACCCGTCACCCCTTGTCCTGTCAATACTACATCATGCATGTGCAAGCACACACATACACGCAGGCAAACGCACATGTATGTACCTACACATCCTATATCCCCTTCCTCCCCTGCATCTTCTCATTTGGAAGTACCAAACTCAGTGCCAGATTAAACACACAGAAGTAGTCAGGCACCAATTCACTTCCCGTCACCAGTGATTATCTTGGCATCCGAACCGCCACTCAAGTTACCATCCCAACTAGCCTCAAAACTAACCACTCCAACACATAATGAAACTTCCAGGTCACAAACCGCCAGCTGAAAGCTGCGCTGCGAAGTGAGGTCTCGTACTGAATTATCCTGCACTGATTGCATCACTCACTCCCCTCATCACATCAACCCTACATGTGAGATGTGTTAAGCACAAGACTCGTAAGCAACAGTGCCTGGAGTTCCTTTGTGGACAGGACCTTCCCTTCAGACCTCAGAACTTACTGACACTTTCACCTGCTGGAACTGGAACCCTGTTGCTGTGGGCTGCATCGGACAAGCTATGACTACAGAACTGCCGCGAGCTGAAGTGCTGGTCAAACCCAGAAAGCACCAGGCAGCGCAGCGCTGAGGGTCAGCACGCTGGCCCACCCAAAGAGCCGCGCGGGAGCGCAGCTGCACTCCCTGTGCCTTCCAGGGGATAAAGGAACAACACGAAGTTCATGTCCCAGGTCTCAGAGCTGAATTGATAATCCTCACATTCATACTCAGATAATACATGCCAAAACTCATCACAGACAGGGGAACTGAGCCCAGGCAGCCGCCTTTTACGCTCTGGATTGCAGGGCAAGAACCATTTAGCCCGTGTGCATGCATCTAACTCCTAACTGGGAGCAAGGGAGTACGGGTGACTGTCAGCCAAGCCCCAGCCGCACCGACTCAGCAGCACCTACGTAGTCATCTTTCTTCGTTCCATAGGAAGCGATATAGTCCGCATGTTTCTCCCAAAGTAACGTGCTCGGGGCGTCGGGTTTTATGGTGACGTCCTTTTGGGGCGTCCCCTGTGAAAAGCACCAAGGACAGACAGTTACCTTGGCCGCGCAGGTTTTATCCCGCGGGTAACTGACGCCGCCCCCATCAGCTGGGCCCAGGCGCCCCTGCGCACTCGCACCCGGCGCTGGGTCCG